AGACAGAGCCCCAAGCCGTCCCCCTGGGTAGAGTGCCGTGGCATCACAGCTCACAGCAACCTCCAACTCCTGGGCTGAAGTGATTCTCCTGCCTCTGCCTCCTAAGTAGCTGGGACCACAGGCGCCCACCACAACGCCAGGCCATCCGTTGGTTGCAGCCATCATTGTTGTTTGGCGGGTCCGGGCTGGACTCAAACCCGCCACCGCAGGTGTACATGGCTGGTGCCCCAGCCACTCGAGCCACAGGCGCCGAGCCCACAAATTCATTTTTTTAAGATGTGTTCACAGTTTAATCTGGTCCCATTCCTTTGCATCTAAACTCCATTGGCCAAGGAATTCTTTTTCCTTTTTTTTTCCCCACTGTTCTACATACTTGGTTCTGAGTCCTTATGGGTGAAATTACAACAGGTCAGGGCATGGATGGGCTGTGAATAAGTGGAAAATCAAGGGCTGTGTGGGTGGGGGACAGACGTTTGGTGGGGGAAGGGAATGGGTGCGTGGGGCTGAAGCCGGATTGGGAAGCTTGAATTATTCTGAGTTAGGGGCTAGGGTCTGGAATCTATGAGTTCAGGGGCACAAAGGGAGACTAGAGAAATACCTTCTCCATCCATCCTTATATGTCATCATTTAAAATTCCTTCCTTTGACTTAGGATTTTTGCTCATTAAAAGGAGAGGACACTGCATTCCCACTCAAAGTACTTACCTAGGAGTCTGGAGACCTGGGCTTTCAGCTCTGAGCCTCAGTTTTCCTGCTTCCTGAATCTCCGTACAGTGATGGGAATGCATGACTGCTTAACCTTTTAGGACATACAGACCCTTTGGAACCTTGGATGGAAGTTAGAGATGCTCTCACGTATACACAACAATTCTTAGTTCCTTGTCTAAGAATACCACAATGAGAAGTCCTTTAAGGCCTCCTCCCCTCAGGACTTGGTAGGTCCAAGCTGTGGATAAGTGTGAACACAGTGCTGGCACTGGGCAGAATGCCCTCTCATCCATTCTCCCATTTGCCCCTCACAATAGCCCCTAAAAGGGGGGCAGATATTATCATCCCCACTTAACAGATGAGGAAGCTGAAGCTTGGAGGCCTCAAGCTTCATTCAGGGTCAACTCAAGACTCCTTGAAGGTCAAACAGTTAGTGGTCTTTATTTTATTTTATTTTATTTTGAGACTGAGCCTCAAGCTGTTGCCCTGGATAGAGTGCCGTGGCATCACAGCTCACAGAAACCTCCAACTCTTAGGCTCAAGTGATTTTCCTGCCTCCGTCTCCCAAGTAGCTGGGACTATAAGCACCTGACACAATGCCCGGCTATTTTTTATTGCAGCTGTCATTGTTGTTTTGGGGGGCCTGGGCTGGATTCGAACCTGCCAGCTCAGATGTATGTGGCTGGTGCCTTAGCCACTTGAGCCACGGGTGCTGAGCCAGTTAGTGGTCTTTAAATATTCAAATGGGGACCAGCACCCATGTCACATGTCTTCACATTATATGCACATACATTCACACATGTTTATCATCTTCAAACACCAAAACTTCCATGAATTTGCCTCCATTTCCAGACCATCCTTGTGCCTGTAGAAACATATGGAGCTCATACCTTTTGGCTCAAAGGGCATCTTGAGTTTTCTGGAATTTACTCAAGGCCACCCAGTGTTTCTTTATGGGAACTGGCACTCACAGCCAGCCAGCTGGCCCCAGGCTCCAGTTGAGCCTCAGCAGCCTTTCCCAGCAGACAGAAGGTGGTGCAGACATCATTTCCTTTCATCAGGAAAGTGGTTTGAATTAAACCTAGATGAAGCACACATGAAAGGGTTAACAAAGGGCCAGGTTGTGGGCAGTGGTGATGGGCTGGGCGGGACAGGGCCAGATGTCCAGAGGAAGGGCTGAGCTTCCCCTGCAGTCTTTTCTGGCAGGTCAGCAGGCTGGTTCTGACTTGGCTGCCTGCTGTTGCCCTTCCTGAAAGCCCCCTTGAATGTGGCCTCAGCACTCTAGGTGTGGGGAATTGCTTGAGCAAAAGTATAAAGGTTGGAAGGTCTGGGGGAGGTGAAGAGGCCTACTGGCCAGAGCAGAGGGAGCATGATTTGGGTACATGATGAGAGGGTTCAAAGCCAAGCCAGTGTTGGTACTGCAAGTTATCACTGGCTTAAAACTGGCTGGTGTCCGTAAGGTGACCCTAACTAACGTGTGCTGTCTCCTTTTGCAGAGACCATGCCACTGAAACATTATCTACTTTTGCTGGTGGGCTGCCATGCCTGGGGTGCAGCCTTGGCCTACTATGGCTGCCCGAGTGAATGCACCTGCTCTCGGGCCTCCCAGGTGGAGTGCACCGGGGCGCGTATCATGGTAGTGCCCAGCCCTCTGCCCTGGAACGCCATGAGCCTGCAGATCCTCAACACACACATCACTGAACTTGACGAGTCCCCGTTCCTCAACATCTCGGCCCTCATTGCCCTGAGAATTGAGAAGAATGAGCTATCACACATCAGGCCCGGGGCCTTCCGCCACCTGGGCTCGCTACGCTATCTCAGCCTTGCCAACAACAAGCTTCAGGTTCTGCCTGTCGGCCTCTTCCAGGGCCTGGACAACCTGGAGTCGCTCCTCCTGTCCAGCAACCAGCTGATGCAGATCCAGCCAGCCCACTTTGCCCCATGCAGCAACCTCAAGGAGCTGCAGTTGCATGGGAACCACCTGGAATACATCCCTGATGGCGTCTTTGACCACTTAGGGGGCCTCACCAAGCTCAATCTGGGCAAGAACAGCCTCACCCACCTCTCACCCAGGGTCTTCCAGAACCTGAACAACCTCCAGGTCCTCCGGCTGTTCGAGAACAGGCTCTCAGACATCCCCATGGGCGCTTTTGACGGGCTTGGCAACCTCCAGGAACTGGCCCTGCAGCAGAACCAGATCAGCGTGCTCTCCCCTGGCCTCTTCCACAACAACCACCACCTCCAGAGGCTCTATCTGTCCAACAACCACATCTCCCAGCTGCCCCCTGGCATCTTCATGCAGCTGCCGCAGCTCAGCCGTCTCACGCTGTTTGGGAACTCCCTGAAGGAGCTCTCTCCAGGAATCTTTGGGCCCATGCCTGACCTGCGCGAGCTTTGGCTCTATGACAACCACATCACTTCTTTGCCGGACAATGTCTTCAGCAACCTCCACCAGCTGCAGGTCCTGATCCTCAGCCGCAACAAGATCAGCTCCATCTCTCCCGGCGCCTTCAACGGGCTGACGGAGCTTCGAGAGCTGTCCCTGCACACCAATGCGCTGGAGGGGCTGGACGGGAGCGTCTTCCGTGGGCTGGCCAACCTGCAGAACATCTCCCTGCAGAACAACCGCATCCGACAGCTCCCGGGGAATATCTTCGCCAACGTCAACAGCCTCATGACCATCCAGCTGCAGAACAACCAGCTGGAGAACCTGCCCCTGGGCATCTTTGATCACTTGGGGCACCTGTGTGAGCTGCGGCTCTACGATAACCCCTGGAGGTGTGACGGGGGCATCCTTCCGCTCCGCAACTGGCTGCTGCTCAACCAGCCCAGGTTGGGGACAGACACCCTCCCCGTGTGCTTTAGCCCAGCCAGCGTCCAAGGCCAGTCCCTCATTCTCATCAACATCAATGTTGCCGTCCCCGAGGTACCCAGCTACCCAGACACACCCAGCTACTTCGACACCACATCCATCTCTTCTACCACTGAATTAATTGGCCCCGTGGAAGACTACACCGATCTGACCACCATCCAAGTCACCGATGACCGAAGCACATGGGGTATGACCCAGGCCCAGAGTGGGCTGGCCATTGCCGCCATTGTCATCGGCATCGTGGCCCTGGGCTGCTCCCTGGCTGCCTGCATTGGCTGTTGCTGCTGCAAGAGGAGGAGCCAGGCGGTCCTGATGCAGATGAAGGCTCCCAATGAGTGTTAGAGAGAGGCGGGCTGGAGCTGGGCGGGGGAGGGGAGGGCAGGAGGGTCTGGCGAGTCCATCTTTCTGTCTCCACCCTGGGTCCACAGAGCTACCCCCACTCTGTAGCTCACTAGGACTCACTTCCTAGGGCCCAGAAGGAGAAAAGGCTTACTCCTTCTGGGCCCTAGGAAAAGTGTCCCCAACGCTTCCTAACTTGCTGGATTCTCCTATAGAGAACCAGTTCTTGCCACCAGGAAGATCCAGCTGACCAAGGCGAAAACCCTGAGGGATTTCTAATTTACATCCCGGGGCCTTTTCAAGAGGGTTTCTCCTCCAAATCCTTATCACCTCTCCCCTAAGAACAACCTGCCCTGTGCTCAGGCCCCTTCCTGGCGTCCATGGACTCAATCAATGCAAAACCTGCTCACTGTGTGGAAATAGTTCTCCCCCAGGAAAGCCCTGTCCTCAAAGTATTATGTAAGGACATGTCCCTTCTTTGGCTCCTCTGTTTGTTCTGTGGCTCGATCCCTTCAGTGAAAGTTCTCTCCTTGAGTTTCTGCTCCTGAGGGCAAGGTGAGTTCTCTCCTCAAAGGAGACTTCCCGCCATGCAGCTCATTTACTGCACGTGGCTCAGCACCCTGGCTTCGAGGAGGCTGCAAAAGAGAGGGAAGAACTGGGAGCCGCTCAGCTCCTGGTGGCAGAGCTGTCATTAGCGCCTCTCTTTTATCACAAGAAGAAAGGCATCAGCATAAGAAATTCAACCTTTTAGAGAATGATATTTCCAAATTGTGAACTTTACTTTGAAAATATTAGCCCTTTAAGGAATAAAATCATGTAGAATTTCAGACTTCTACAGATATTCAAATCAGCTTATTGGCACTGAATGGAGAAAGAAATCTGGTGCCTGGGAGTCCCTGTGTTCATTCCCAGAACTTTTCCTGGAGAATACTGGGGTGTCTGGAGATGGCACGGACTTTCCTGTGAGCCATGATGGGTCCCTCACTGCCACCCACAGCAGCTCATGCAAAGGCCTACCTGCCAGCGATAGAGGAGAAGACGTGGGTATGGGCAGGAGCTCTTCTTACATCCTGTGACCTGAGGCCCCCAGGCCAGTTGGTCAGGAGCATTCTGACTACAGAGGCCTGTGCGACCTCACCCCCTTCCCTGCTAACATGTTGTCTGCTGCTCATTGGAGGCCCCTCTGCCCAGGGCCTTTTATGGGCATGATATGCCTGTATCTGTTTTTAATTTTCATTCTCTATTTGGGAGAAGTGAAATAGTTCAGAGATGAGATCCTTTAATTGAATGGCCATGTGTAATGGAATCCAGCAATCTCTCTAATGTTGTGGTAAAATTCTCCATTAACAGTGCAGTTAGCTAGCAGTGAAAGTTGAGAATTTTCCTCTGAGGCAAGCAATATCAGGGTACTCAGACAGGCCACAAGGGGTCTGGGGGCTCTCTGGAGCGCCTCCTGCCTATGGTCTGGTTCTAAGAGTTGAGTTGTTTGCTCAGGGGTACTTTTCTTCCTTGAGTTACGGTCCCATGAGTACCTGCCTTTGATGCGCAAGAAAGGCCTGTCTTGGGCTTTCATCATTAAACCAAAGAAATTGGGGGTCACTCTTCTCTTGCTCCTCGTGTCTCAGTTATCAGAACCTTGCTTGGGACCGTATGGATCAAAAGCTAGGTAAATATGGAAAAGATTGAACTTGCCTTTCCATTACTGAAAACCAGCCCCTCCTACAGGCCTCGCTGGGCTGCAAGTGTGTCGTTTCCTCTCTGTAGAAGTCAGAGGTATGACCAAGTTCTCGGGGCCTTTCATGGGCAACACCACCGTTTCCATAACCTCTCAGAAGTCTGTGCCATGTTGCAGGAGGACTGCCAAGCTCAAGAAGCGTGTGCTGAGCAGACAGCTGGGGTCCCCCTGATAAGTAGGGCTGGCAAACCCAGGTCAGGTGTATCCTAGCCTTTCAGTAGGAAGCACTCAAAGGGTCAGCCCACAGATCTCCCAGTCAGATCTAACTCCAGGTGGCCGGGGAGGTGGTGGTGGTCTTGGGAATGAAGCCATCGCTTGGCACAGACAAGGTGGGTCTCTGGGAGAAACTCCTCCCAGTCCCAGGTTCCTTCTCCTAAGGAGAGACTATTCTCACCAGCTCATCGCCTTCATGCTGCCTTCAAATGTAGACTATGTGTGCCTTGCTTAGAGAATCGCTGCAAATAGTCCCAGGTGCTTGGTGATGTATTTAGAGATTTCTAAGCCCCCAGGGTCTCGTGAACCTTGAAGGGCAGGGTCGGGGATCTATCTTTTGCTAGATGCTGCTTGTAATAAATTTGGTGTAGAGAATCAACAATAAACGGTATACACAGGACATGTGTGCTCTCTGTGGCCATCTCGGGTAGGGGGGTCTCACACCTGTGGCTTCTGCTCTTGTCCTGTTTGTGCAGGCTGATTCAGACAGCTCTCACAAAAAGGAGAGTCTGGGTTGATAAATAGGCCTTCGGAAAGTGAATGGGAACCACAAAGGAGACAACCAATGGTATCTCTAGGCCATTGTGATGGACAGGGACCTCACGAATAGGTTCAACTATTTTATAGATGAAGAAGGGAAGCTCAAGAGTGGAAATGCGTTTTCTATAGTCATCTTTCAACTAGGGGTTGAGCTCGACCTGAACCCAGGCCTCCAGGCTCCCAGGGGGACCTTTGTACGCCACTAGAAAGGCATTGGCGCTCACTCAGCATTTTTTTAGCACGCGCGCACACGTGAGCACACACACGTGGCTAAGATAATCCTGCACACCTCCAGACTCTGATCAGTCAGTACTGAGCAGCAGGCAATGAGTGACAGGCTCTTAGAACCCACCCTCTGAATGGAGGTGACACCCTCCAAGGGTCTAGGAGGTCCCCTGGACTCTTTCAGGTCTCTAGGTTTTAGGGACTGGACCAGCTGCTGGTGCAGGTCCAGCGGTTAAGAGACGGATGACCTGCTCTTTCTAAACCCATCGTTATGCCCAGGAATGGGCTTCAATCCAGATTTGTCTGAGCTCTCTTAGTTCATTAAATCCCTCCTGCCCGGAGTAAGCCTGTCCCAGGAGGTTGGGCCAGGACAGGGGTCAGTAATGTTCACCATGTTACAGGGCCCTGCTGCTCTTCTTTAGACACTGAAACTTGGTCCACTCAGACAGGTTGCTGGAATTCTGGATAATAGGGAAAGGCTTAGAATCTTCATCCTTATTTCTCAGAAGATCCTGGAGCTATTAATGCAAATTGCCCTCCACACATGCACCCAAACCCCAGTGTCCTTCCAGCTGCACGTCAAACTCCTTTCACACATACTCCTACCTCCCAGGCCACTGCCACGCCCATTCCACAAATGACAACTCAGAGACTTGCAGAGATCAAGTAACTTGTCTAAGGATGGGCTAGTTAGTTAAAGAGCAAAATTCAAACTTGGAGCTGTCCAGTGACTAATTTTTCTTGTTCACTGTGGTATGCTGACAAGTGGACATGCTGCATCTGTGGAGGGGGTGTCGCCTTGAGAACCTGTCCAGAGCCCAGGGCTGTTCCTGAGCCTGTTTGTGAGCCCTCTTCTCTCCTGCCCTTCCTCCAGGTGGCCTTCCTGCCCTTGCCACCATGAGTGCTGCCAAGGGGGGGCTGGGCACACCTGTCCACTGCCTTTCTCCCCTCTAGCAGGCTCCTGCCCTCCTCTGCCAAAGTGTGGATTGGTCATGTGTGTCCATTGAAAAACGCTCTCTTGCTATACTCCGTCTGATCTTTTTTTTTTTT